TTAAAGATACATTATGGGAAATCAGATAAAGAGCTGACAGTTCTCACTATAATAGTTAAAAACTAGATAATGTAAAGGGAATTTGCTGAAAATTTCAAATTGATCCACTTTGAAGCGAGATTTTAGCAATTGAATTTTCGGCCTTACCTCGATCACCATTACTAAAGGCAGTACGATAAAAAACATAGTCTTGATTATCCACTTCATGAATAAATCATGAATGAAAGTTGAGCAGCAAATCTGATTGTAATCCAGTAAAAATCGCAGGCTAGCGTTGACATCGAGAGTTGATTATGATCTGGATATATATGTAAGTTAATTAATGTCTAATTATACCATTGCATAATGTATGTTTAATGTCTCTAGGTTCATGTCCCAAAAGCTCAACATTACATGTACATTTTTGTCCCACAGCACTTTGTACTGAAATATGATGCTGTGCAACATGCGGATTCTTTAGCTAGAGCAGGTCATATATTATGGGTCGTTGGTGGAGCTTGATTGTTAATCCTGAACATTCCGCAGTGACAGAACTGCAATCAAGTGACCTGGAATTGAGTCTTGTCAGAGTTCTGACAATTCTGAAATCAAACGTGGTGTTGTGTGAGCAGAATAGTGGCATAACCAAATGTTTCAGCTATGACGATTGCTCGAGATAGTATCATACATGTATTTGGTTAGTGCTTGCCTTGTCACCAGAAATTCTCTTGTTTACTTGACTGACATCTTTCGAGGGGTTATGATAATTTAATTCTGAAGCGTTCAATCAGGTATATCTAGAAACATAATTTACCTTGCTAAATCAAGCATCAGCAGTTGGTAATAAATCAGTTTTTAATTATCAGGGATTTCACTCCATATATCTAGTTAAGCATACATTATGCAAGAGCTAAATCTGCCTATTGCAGGTCTTTCTTTAGGCCTGAAATGTTATCTAAATTATTAATTAGACATTAATTAACTTATCCAGACCATAATCAACTCTGGATGTCATCGCTAGCCTGTGATATTAACTGGATTTGAATCCGATCTGCTGCCCAACACTCATTGATGATTAAATCCAAAAATGGATAATCAAAACTATGTTTTTTATTGTACCGACTTTAGTATTGATGATCGAGGCCAAGCGTAAAATTCAATCGCTAATATATTGGTTCATTGTGAAGCAATTTGACTAACATACAGTTTTTAGCATATCCCCTTTACATTATCTAGTTTTTAACTATTATAGTGAGAACTGTCAGCTCTTTATCCAATCTCCCATAATGCCTTTTTAAATTCATGTGTTCAAATTAAACTTGTCATTGCTTGGATATTTTGAATATAAGCTTACGTACATGTACTTAAATAAATGAATAATTTTAAAATCTGATTGGAGCAAAAATATGATAGACCTAATAAATCTTGATTATTAAACCCAATATGCGTGTAGTGTGGGCTCTGGATGGTCTATTTCATTATAGCGTCTCCTAGACAACTCCCAAACAAAGTCTGGAAGTTGTCAATTTTTAGATACTCATTGTTTTTCAGAATGTTGTACAAAGAAAAGTCATCATTGACATTGTGTTTTACTGTGGCTTTTTATAATTTATTATTTTGTCTACAGACATAAAATTTCATAACATGACCATTACAAATGTCAATGAAGGATTAGACTTCTAGCATGCTATTATTGACACATAAAGACCAATCTAACAGCAGTCTTCTTGCAGGAAATGAAACCTGAATTCAAAGATTAGTTGAATACAAATGTCTGGGGTTTTATGTTAGTGCCAGACAAGTTAATGGTCAGACTTTAAACTGATGAAAATAACACATACATGTACATGTATGTGTATCGACCAGTAATTCAAACCTTACTTCGAACACCATATTCTTAACCAATTACATTATATACATATGTATTTAACATTAAACATCCTTTCTGAAAGGGGACGTTGGGTGGACTAGTGGCTTAACGCGTGCACGTGAAATAATAAGGTCTGTCACTGAGTCAAGTCTTGTGTTTTCGATTCCCCACTTGTACATAACAAGGAGCGGGGTCGTCAGTCCAACCTCGTTGGGATTCTCCAGGTCCTCGGGTTTCTTTCCACTGCTAAAGACCCATATGCGCAAGCTAATTATTGAAATAAAATTGAACCATATGTCAGTCACTAAATGACCTAGTTTGTGTTGAGTGGATGTTAAACCCCATTTCTCTCCCTCTCTTAAAAGCTGCGGACTGTCATTTGCATTTTTCAGACAGTATCTAATTGATCAAAACCCAAATATAGACAGTAAATAATCTCCTGGATTTGATTCAAACAGATTAAAAAGAGGCCCATCAAAATAAATACCTAATACATAATGTATAAGTGGTGCTGGCTTGTTTATATTGCCTACAGATGATAGCGCCAGTTTGTGAAATTTTCAATTCCCTGTATCTTTGTAAATACTTAAATACATGTATAACCGATGTCTAGGTCATATGTTGTTTTGTTATTTTATTATTTGTCAATTCTTTTTTAAATTTCAAGTATATATTTTAATTTTCATTGATGCTTGGTTAGTCATACAGCAATTAACCTGTCAGTCAAATTATGACATGCTGGCAACTAAGTGGTTGATCTGTTAAGTTTCTTCTTACTATTGTTTTAAATGCCTTAGGTCTTAATCCTTCGATAATTATATGTTTATGTCAACACTTTCTAAGTAACTGATTTTTATAAATAGACAAATGTATGTAAGAAGATATTCATTAGTTGGAGAGACCAGCTTAGGGAACCTATACTAGTTGGAGGTCCGATACATAGGAAATTATAAGTTGTTAAATTGTTGCTGTTAATTATTTGCTGCTGAAATAAAGTGTTGAAGATCCATTCCAAGAATCTGTATTCATTTCTGATACTTAAAGGACCTAAGTCCGTAACTCAAAATCGTCCAAAATCTTCAACATCGAAAACACGAATTATTGGTCAATTTAAATCAACATTGATGATGTAAACTTACCGGGAAAAGATGAGCTTCTGATATCCGATATTTAAGATAAAATAATTTTTTTAACATTGGTACACGAATCGTGTACCATAATGCGCTTCAGCCCCAGTTGTATTGAGAGACTCGAGGAACGAGGCTAGACACATTCACCAAATCAAATGGAGTTATGTAGACTAGAATAACTAGACGCTAGAAATTTGCACTCGATTGAGATCGCTGACTTATTTCGCCGAACATAACTGATTTGAAATTGGAGTAAAAACGGAAACCATTAAATATGAATCAGTTTATATACATTCATATTACAGTATTATATGCGTTGCGACCCACTTTTATGAATTTCTAGGTCCCAAATGTTAGCGATTTAGCTCCTTTAAAGAACACCCGTCGACGAGCTACATTCCCTGAAAGTCGAACGGTGTTACATGTATGCATGATGTAAGATTTTAATAATGAAGTTAAATGTACATTACATTTTAAATGTTTGAAGTTTTGACAAGATAGTCTTGATTGTCAAGTACGATGTACATGTACCATTTCTACGATGATAAACAAAGTCTTGATTAACCATTTTATCATTAAACTATTACATGTAAATAGCGCGAGTGTTTTGATCCATTAAATATCATGGCTATTCGATGGTATAGAGTTGATTATTGGCTTGTCGTGTGAATAAATGCCCACCAGTTCTTAATAATTTTCATAACATTGAAGCCTAAAAACCGGCCTGCAATAGGTAGATTTTGCTGTTACATAATGCATCTTTTAACAGATTCCAAATGGCGATCCAAGCACCTTATCCTGTCAGTCAACCAAATTTTTAATTAGTAGGTATTATGTCTGATTTGTCTGTGGATTCATCCAATTTGAGCTGTCCATATTGTCCATACAGTGGGGGTGGTTGAGTTGTTTAATGCATGCGATTTAGCTCATAAGGTCTGTCGTTTAGTCAAGTGGCATGAAGATTGTACATGTCTGTGACAAGGAGTAGGGCCACTTGCGCAACCTCATGGGTTTTCTCCAGGATCCCTATACGCAAGAAAATTATTGAAATAAAATTGTACCATATGTTAATTCCGAAATGACCTAGTTTGTGTCAAGTGGATGTTAAACCCAATTTTTCTCTCTCCAATTCTGATATCATATTATACAATGTACAAGGCAGACCATTATACAAAATGGCTTAATCTTTGGTTTGTTAAATTTGATTGTAACAACTATCGCATATTTTTTTTAGTAACCAAAATATCTGTGGACCATCTGACCTATTTTGGCTTAAATACCCATTAAAATTTCTTTGTTCTATTTTAATACCCATACATGTAGACAAAACATGCATGAATAAACCTTTGTAAAGCTGGTTGGTTTGTTTTCATCAAGGTCATAATGTGCCTTAAATAAATAACCACTTTTTTAACTCTTTATGACAATTAAATATCCCATCTATTACGATAGAATCTAACAATAATAATGGCACCTTGGCAATAAGTAGACTATACTGGCTCTTGCAACTGGGGTTTACTGGCTAATTTAGTTAGACTTTCACTTATCTCTCATTTTCAAACGGTTCCATATAACTCTACATTATTAGCAAGTGGTGAAAAACATTAGCATCTGTTGGTTTCAAGTTTTGTAAATCGAGCTGTTTGACTGCATGTGTTTGAAAAAGGGAAGTTCGTGTTGTAAGTAGCGTAGGCAGAGTGAGTGGGATGAAAGCTCTATGGGTTGTGTGTCGTATAGGCCAAGCAAGCATGCATGCAGCGTACAGGGAGGCGGTTCAAACAATGCCTATTACAAACTAGAATAACACTCGATTCAAGCATCGTACTCAAAGAATTGAATGGGAGACAAATGCTCCTATCAAAATTAACAAATATATACACTTGGGTCTTTTTGGGGCAGTAATAAGGTTCTGACCACTGCTGCCATGAGAAGAAATTCTATTTTTAGTCACTAATACACACTGAGTCATTCATGCCGATTTTGCGCGTGCGATTCGCGCATTTGTGTCAAATATTTCTTACCTGATTCTGTTAATTTTAATCCAACTTTACTTTGTTCGTCTACTCTAAGATCCGAGCAGACGACCCGGAGAATATATCAACACATAAATATTATTCCTTTTTATCACCATGTCATCTTAGAACACCGTCTCGCGCTGCCGGCTACACTCAACTCACAGAAGGTCACTAGAACCAGCACCAAGAACCCGGATGTTGACCTCTGACCCGCATAATGATGCCATGCCCCAGACGATAGAATCGATTCTATAGGACCCATTTACTTTGAATTGACAACATATGCAGCTGTAGTGCTTGGGACTGTACCCCTTTTGATCATTTAATTATTTACTATGAAAATTACTGATCCGTGACATCGTTAAAGACGCAATGACAATGTCATACACCAGAATGGAACATCTGCACGTTTTTAAAATCAATGACGTGACGTTACGACATACAATGCACAACGCGTGCACGCACAAAGAAACATAAATATACAAGTAGAACCGTTGCGACGTATGTTTGCTCAATATTGGTCAATAATTTACTGTGAAATACGAGATATACCAAACCATTTATACCATAGTTATGACTGGGTTATATTTACACCGTATATCACACCCGTGCAACAAAATACCACAATTTGGCTTTTCACTGTCAATTATTAACCAGTGGATATAAACAACGGTCAATTTATCCCATTGATTTAGGTATATTATGTTTCCAGTATTCAACCAATATAACCCAGTGGATATGAAAACTGATATAATTTCTTGGCCATAAAAAATATCTCCTTTTCTTTTCTTTTCTAGCGCTAAGATATGAAATAAAATCGATTACTACATGTATATAGGACTATATACTATATTATGGGGTTTATCAAGTTATTTTTTTATACCATTAGTAGAGTTAATACAAATATGGTATGTAATGGGCGTGAATTATCATTATAATCAGGTGGGCAGAACATCGCGTTGTTAGAAAGTTAACAATACAATTGCAATGTCCTGGCACAATCGGAAAAATAAACGAAACGCAATTATAATCTAATTTTGATTATAGGTTGTATTGAATTCAAGCGGTGTTGGAAGAGGGAATTGTCAACGGTTTGGCGACGAAACCTTTTGCCCTTCAGGCAGACAGTGACACTGCCTTCTATTCGGGGGGGGGGGGGGTGGATGGCCGAATGGTTAGCACGTGCGCGCTGTATCATAAGGTCTGTCATTGATTCAACTGGCGTGGTTTCGAATCCCCGGTTGTACGTGACAAGGAGTAGGGTTGCCTTTCCAACCTCGTGGGTTTTCTCCGGGTGCTCCGGTTTCCTCCCACTGCTAAAGACCCCTACGCGCAAGCGAATTATTGAAATAAAATTAAAAAGAACATATTATGTTAGTCCCGAAATGACCTAGTTTGTGTCGAGTGGACGTTAAACCCCATTTCTCTCTCTCTCTCTCTCTCTCTCTCTCTCTCTCTCTCTCTCTCTGCCTTCTATTCATCAAAAGAGACACCTATATTACGCACACGACAGATTGTACACGAATGGACTTGGTTTTTCTGCCCATCCGAACGACTAGGAAACACTTTCTATACAAGTCAGCCCAACAGACTTTATCCCAGAACGTTATGTTCGGTCAACGCTGAGATTGGAATTACTCAGTTTCGCTCGATTACCGCGCACCCAGGATGATGCTAACTCTTATACAGTGCTAGGACTATCTAGGAAAAAGTGCTAAATTTTGGATGTTTGGGTTTGGTCCGGTTCACTGATTTTAATTGCTTGGTATGCTGATCTAAACAACATGTCCGGCTTGAGTAGCATTGCCCTAATATAAATTACATAAGCGTTGACAACTATTAACCGGCCAGTGGGAGTATCAAGTAACTTAATATTTTAATTTCTAAAATAAAAATCTCGTTTCATATAAAGTCTTTGATATCAGTTGTTTAGTCTTCCAAAAACCAAGTTTTATCATGCTGAGCTATTTTTGTACGCCCATATTTTCAAGTGGACGTGTATTGAGTCGCCCCTGTCAGCCCACAATTTATTTGTGGACACGCGGTTCCTTTCGATATTGGCATTTTATCCAATATTAAAAGCTGTTCTAACATATCACCATTCCACCCTTATGATGGTTGAGTTCGAATTTCATGAAAATCGGATTGAAACTGCCCGCTTCTCGTTTGCAAATATAATACCAAGGTTGTGGACACTGTAGAAGTCACAATTTTTTTATCCGATTTTGATCAAACTTAAAATATATGTCTATATTCCACGGATTTTTGTTTCTTTCCATATTCGCACATATCGGTCCGTAACCTCCTAGATTATGGACCCTGGGTGTACCAAAAATTACAGTTTATACCCGATTTTAAAAACCGTTTAAATATACACCGTTACACCCTGGGTTTGAATTTTGTGATAATCGGATCGAAGGCTGTGGTCCCTCTAACGATTTGTATCCGGTTTTGAAAAAAACTTAATATTATATGTTTATGTATCAAAGATCTCGGTTTGATGTTCGCGTATATCGGGCCTAACTTCTTGCCTTGTGGCCCCTATTGTACGAGAAATTGTAAGAATAATACTACGAGTTCTTGATGTGGAAATTTACACGGAAATATTTATTTATGGCTAGTGATATATCATATCCCTAGCCATAAATAAATATTTCCGTGTAAATATCATATCCCTAGCCATAAATAAATATTTCCGTGTAAATTTCCACATCAAGAACTCTGTGGTGACAGAAATGAAATGAAATGGAGTTTAACGTCCTACTGTTCTGCTCCTAACCTGGGCTAATGAAGACGGGCATACGCCATACAGTGTGCTATGAGGAAAAATTTTGCCCGGACAGCGGCACTATGGCCTACTCTTATATCTTTTACGTGCACGCCAATGTGTACACGGGACCTCGGTTTTTCGTCCCATCCGAACGACTAGACAGCTTTCCTTGTCAGCCCCTCCGTCCTGCATCACTGACAAGGGAGAACCACGCCGGAAAATCTGGATGAACTTTCTCGGCCAATGCAGGGATCGAACACCCGACCTCTAGGCTAGCGAGCTAGCGTCTTACCCACTTAGCCACGTGATCTCCTGTGGTGACAGAGAATATAAGTAATATTGTTATAATACATTATTAAAGGTGTACTGTTTTGTTGACATTGACAATAAATTCGCGTTAACGAAATAGTTTATAAAGTCTAGTATTGATGGCGATATTAACGACCTTTGATTTTGGCTTGCTGTCGTACTGTTGTCTTTTCGCCTCAGAAGTTGATGTGGTCTCTACTTTCAAGGTCACTTTTCGACTTTCGTGTTTTGAAGGAGCGAAAAGTAGAAATCATGAATGGTAGTTATAGGCTTCCATAAGATTGTAAGACAAAATAAACATTTTACCATTGGTTCACGAATGCCTTTAAGTGCCATTTATAACAAGGGACTCGAAGGACGGGGCTAGATATATTCCACAAGTAACTCAAACGGTTACGTCATATTCCTATCTGGAGAGCATGCGCAATAAATACTAAATCAGTTTATGTACATTCATATTACATTATTATTTGTGTTGCGAACCATTTGTGTCAATTTCTAGGTCCTAAATATTAGCGATTTAGCTCTTTTAAATAACAAATACATGTAGATTGTTTTGGGGTGACCTTTTCTCTGTATGTAAATAATCAGTAAGTGTTCATATTTTTGCACCAAAATAGATAATTTTGGATCAAATTTTCTTTTACTGATAATTGATAAGTTCGTAAATAGTATTGTACGATGGATCAACAGGCCATTAATATTTCGATATTGGCCCATTTCTATAGAAATCAATATATAATTGGCAAGAGTTATACAATCGTAATGTGCTTAACAACCCTTGTTTTACTTATGAATATTTATCTCCCCAAGAAAAAGTTCCAAAATCATTTAATTGGTTAACATCAAATTGGTCAATATCAAAGTATATGAGTAAAATGTAAAATAATGTAAGATATTTTATACCCTGGCTTAGACAAGCTGCTGTAGATATTACATCAAATTAATAAGCTTATTATTACATTATGTAATATTTGAATCAATTTTTTTTAATTTTATTAAATTGTTATTAAATTTGTTTATTTCTGTCTTTAATTTGATTAGTTTTTCTTATTCTCTTATTCAAATTTCATAGAATCTGATTCCAAACCCATCTAGCTTTAGTTTTACATTCTAAATACAGAGCAGTGTAATATGACACTTATACAATACACCATCTGAATAGATAGTAATTGGGCTACAATTTATTGTCTTTGAGAGGTTGATGACAGGATTCTCTTCAACAAATCTTTGAGGTCACATTCCCAAACTTGAAGAAATCTGGCTGATTTCTAGTTGATCTTAAGACTGTATATTAGAACTTGAACTTTGCCACACACAATATAATCGTTCGGATTTTACGAAAAAAAAACCCAGTATATTCTTCTATTGGCAGTAAGTTAACGATCCTCTGACAGTTTGAAATAGAAATTAAACATAGCCCTTAAGGGCCTTAACACCGCTGTCAGAGCAAACTATCTCATATAGCAAACTATACATGTCCTGTTTAGTACACGACACAGTAATAATATATATTTAGATTTGGATAGCGAATACATGTGGTCAAACAAATATCTTATCGCAGTTTCTTGGGTTGAAATTTTCTGAGAGCATTTCCTGTATAGATTCTTAAACAATAAGTTATGTCGACTATAAAACCCACACGGAATATGAAAAAGCTCTAGCATAGCCGTTTTCACTGTATCATTTATGCCACAAGACGGCGTTATTGTTAAACAATGATTTAGGACATACACAGATTTAATTATAGTATGGGAATTATAGTAAGACATATATAATATCTGTGCGAATTTGATTGTCAACATAATGTAATGAAATGGGGTTTAACGTCCTACTCAAGTTCTGTACCGATTGGGTGAATGGAGACGAGGTCAACATAAATATACATAATTGTGCTGAAATTTTGAAAAAAAGAGTAACAAGGTTCTTGTGTATGTTTACTAAGGAACTGGATCAAACTGGGACATCGACCAAACTGTTGTTAGTTTACTTACACCTTTTTCTATTGTGTTCTCTTTTGTTTATAAATCTGAGTAACATAGAAAATTGGTGTTTAAACAAAGCTCAACTGAAAAGGTGAGAGAAAATTGCAATTTTTTTTTATATCCTTGTGTTGATTATATACAGTTATGTTTTAGTAATACGTAGATACATGGCTTTGAATCGTTATTGTCCTAAATGTACCTATTCTACTTTTCTAATATGCGTATGACAATGGTTTTTGGTTTAGGCAAATTATAATTGTTTTCATCTTACTTCAGCTGTATATAGGACCATTTATGTTTGAATGGTATATAATCCTAAATAACCGCTTTTTAAATTCACCATAATCTTTTATTCGAAATACAAAGTATGAGTACCTTGGAAGATTTTAGCTATTAATGTAGATGATTAAATTTTTTTCATTACAAAATAAGTATTAAAATGAGTTTTAAAAATAAATATCACATTAGTTTTTCTCTAGGAGAAGGGAGACCAATCCTGTTAAAAGCTATCGATCAATTTGAAGTCAGGCCACTAACTAGTTATATTGCTAGTTCATTGTATAGAGTTCAAATGAAATGAAATGTGGTTTAACGTCCTACTGTTCTGCTCCGACTGGGCTAATGGAGACGAGCATACGCCATGCAGAATGCCATGAGTGAAATTTTGCCCAAACAGCGACGCCACGGCCTACTCTTATATCGAATTCCAACTGCCAAAGGATCTCTTACATGCACGCCAATGTGTACACGGGACCTCAGTTGTTCGTCCCATCCGAACGACTAGATAGCTGTCCTTAATATACGAGTTGTAGTTACAATAAAGTGATTATTATTATGAAATATGTTTTGTAGCTTTACATTAATAATGAGTTGCAAAAAAGAAAGAATTTTGACGGGAAGTTTCCATTGGAGTTTTGAGAAATTCGAACTCACCCGCGATTGTTGTGAATTGAACAGTGTCTAATATATTTTTAAGAACGATATTTAAAATCAAATAAAAATTGTGACCTCTAGAAGGTCTACACTCCACAAACTAAAAAACACGATTTTTCGTTTGTAATCAGGAGCAATAATCAAGGACGCTTGCTTGAAAATCGCATATTTATATGCGATTTTAAATTAACAATGACAATTTGGTATCAAATGAATTATTATTATCAGTTGAAATAATGTCAGATTTGGGTGGTATTTGGTAAATCGGGCTACCGTGCCAAAATCGACTCCCCAAAAATCCCGGTAGCACAATTTACCAAACTCCACCATTATTTCAACTCATATAATGTTAATTGATATCTATATTTGATAATGACAATTTGGCATAAAGAACGATCATCAAATATCGATATTATAAATAATGATGGATTTGGGTGGATTTGAGTAAATCGTGCTACCCTGCACATGCAATCGACCTGATCCAAGAATTTGGGATATAAACATTTTATCAAAATCGGATGATCTGTAAGGGTAAAAACTCGAGGGCAATAATCCATTAAGTTACGGTCCGACATGCCAAACCAAAATCGATTTTATCCAAAAATTTGGGACATAGGCCTAAACATTTCATCAAAATCGGATAAAAATTGTGATCTATAAGGGTAAAAACTCGATTTTTCGTACAATTTTTTCATGGTAAGCTTTTTAGTTTGTCATTTGGTATCACATATATAGTAAAGCAAGGAAAACTGCATCCAGGAAAATTCTGTTGGGAACTTTTACATAATTCACACAAGTGCATCACTAAATTCTATAGTAAACTATAATATGAGTTAAGGCAACGCCAAATTATGAAGTCTGTAGTATAGAACATATATAGTTACAGTATTATGTAGGAAACTATAGTATTTGTTAAATTGATTTAAGTACCATATACATATAAATTCTACCTACAAAAAACTATAGAAGGCATCTGTTATATGTTTCTCCACAAAATCTATAGAATAAATTATTTTTTTATAGTTTTCTAAAGAATGTCGTTGAAAACTATGGGATTACACAACTGGCTTGAGACTATAAGTTTGTTCTATAGAAAACTATAGTTTTTACCACCAAATCTATAGGAACCACAAGTGCTTTGAGAATACAAGTTAGTTCTGTAGTCAACTATAGTTTTTACCACAAAGGCTATAGAAAACTATAGGAATACTCAACTGACTCCAAGATACAAGTTAGTTCCATAGAAATCTATAGTTTTTACCACCAATTCTATAGCAGTGCCAATGAATCTATAGATTTATGTTTTTTCCAATAATTTCTTACGGTAGGCCTATTCTATAGAATTCTATAGGAAATTACACTTGGAAAAACTCATCTACCGATCCTACACAAAACTATAGTAAATGTTTTTGAATTTATAGTCAAGTGAAAAAAACTACAGAATGAATTCGTTTTCCTATAATAGTAGTATTCTATAGCATTCTAATGTAGCCTATATAATCCCACAAACTTCTATAGGAACTTATACTTTTTCTATAGGACTTTTTATATAGCCTATATTCATTCATATATTTTTCGTGTAGCCATCAATACGTGAAAATAGCCACACCTGACAGCCCTGCTATGGTCGGCAATTTTTTTTTTGGGGGGGGGGGGACAAAACATTTTTTTCTGGGGGGCAACGGAACCTGCTGACAATTAATTATAATGCTTGATCCAAAATTTATATCTATCTGCCCTCGATCTGAACTATGGTCACCGGAATTTATTGTAGTATTGTATGAGTCGGGACGTAATTGATATGTCGAGTCCCACTCCCAGTATTGAATGACGTGTGTGTCGTTTGATACCGTTATACGTTCACCGTCAGTATACGGTATTATCTATGGTAGAACCACAGAGTAAAAATACTTTGTGGTAGAACACTGTCTGTATACAGAAATTACCGAGTATAGTTTCATCCAATCAAAACCCTTTCTGTGAGATGAAAATTATCTTGACCAATCAAAAATTACTCTTCTGAAATAAAGATAATAAATGAACGATGATCGAATTGCACATGTTTGGTGTAATTTCTGTTGTTACGATCAAAAACATTTGAAGATCATTCAGTGTTTAGATTGATTTAAGTGAATGTACAGTTATTTAGAATGGCGTCTAGTCAAAAATACATAGTTGTAAGTATGTCTATCTGTAATATAGAATAGAGATAAACGAAATTCCAAGAATATCTTTAGAAACGACCACGATGGTTATATCAGTAGGGTATCACTCTGTCACACAATCACAGGCATCTGACCTTCTTATATACAGTTATACACCAGACCGAATTAGACAATAAATATAATAAAAAAAAGAACAGGAATGCAATGCCTGTTGAAGCCTCGATTTTACCTGCTCTGCTTCGGCTCGTTTTTTTTCAACAATTCGTAATGTCAGGCAATCAAACCTCAGTCGATTCACTCAGATATGTTTTTTCTTCAATCTAGCCTAGCCGTTTTGATTTGCATAAATAGTTTTAAATACTCCCCACAAAACGAATCATAGCCACTTGTTTCCAATATTTACATTCGTTAATGTCTGTCATCATGTAAATATTGGAAACAAGTGGCTATGATAGTATTTATGCAAATCAAAATGGCTAGATTGAAAAAAACATATCAGAGTGAATTGACATTACAAATTGTTGAAAAAAAACGAGCCGAAGCGAGAGTAGGTAAAATCAAGGCTTCAGCAGGCATTGCATTCCTGTTCTTTTTTTAATATATTGTCTAGTTGAGTATGGTGTATGCATATATATACGGATAGAAGGTCAGATTCCTTTGGTTATATGTACTGTACTACACTGTAGGCCTACATGTAAATTAAAGGAGCTAAATCACTAATATTTTGGACCTAAAAATTGACACATATGCGTCGCAACGCAAATAATAATGGAATATGAATGTATATAAACTGATTTACATTCAATCATTTCAATTTTACTCTTAAAGGAGCTAAATCGCTAATATTTGGGACCTAGAAATTGACACAAATGGGTCGCAAAACATATAATGTAATCTGATTGTATACATTCAATTGTTTCCGTTTTGACTCTTAATTTCAAATCAGTTATGTCCAGCGAAATACGGCATAAGTCTCAACCGAATGCCAATTTCTAGCGTCTGGTTATTCCAGTCTATTGCGCATGATCTCCAGATAATATATGGCATCACCGTTTGACGTGAGTTGTTGAATATGTCTAGCCTCGTTCTTTCTGGTCACTTGTTACAAATGACGCTGAAATGCACTATGGTACACGATTCGTGTACCAATGGTAAAATGTTTATTTTGTTTTAAATATTGGATATCAGAAGCCTACCTTTTCCCGGTAATATTACAACATCGATGTTGATTTGAATTGACAAATAATTTGTGTTTTCAACGAGTAAGAGTTTGGATGATATTGAGTTAGAGACTTAGCTATTTTAATTTCAAATTACACCAGAAATCTCTCTAGCGTAAGGTTATTCCAGTCTACACCGATAGTTTTTATTGCGCATGCTCTTCAGATAAGAATATGCCCTCACCATTTGACATAGTTCAGTTCTGAGCATAGTTCTCATCACACTCGCCCTCTATGTTCAGGAACCGCCCTATTGAATCCTTGTCGAAAAAGTTTTGGCCGCCAGTCAATTTTACTGGGCAACTTTTTACTGCTAAATGGTCGAGTGTCAGTCTATGTCAACGCCTGTACAATGTAAAGAACATTTTAGTGAGAAAATAAGACCTTGCTTACCTCACTAGAATCAGTATCTGCGACACAACATGCTGTTAAAAACATGTCCCCTTCTGCTAAACGGCTTGGTAGAAGCCATTGAAATCTATATAGGGTAACACACAAATTTACGTAACTCGGCCATAAGAAGCCCATCTTTTCCCAGTAATATCACAACATAAGTGTTGATTTATATTGACAAATAATTTGTGTTTAAAATGTCGAAGACTTTGGATGATATTAAGTTAGAGACTAAGCTACTTTAATAGATACGAAATCGAATACGATAATAAGCATTTGTCTTCTGATTCCTGAATGATTTATCTTGTGCAGTCAATTTTCGTACCACTATTATCAAATTCGGTACATGTGTCATACCAGCCGATGATCAAATGTTTTGACCTTTTAAAGTCATGTTCAGAATCCCGGTGTAAAATTTAGAATTTTATTTTGCCATAGATACTAGAGATAGAACTCTTTAGAGAGTCGGGTCCATCAGGATTTTTAAGTCGTGATATGCCCAGATATTCAGATGAATAAACCCCATTTATTTATGTTCTTCATACGGTAAAGGTTGGTAAGTTTGACATTAGTGTAATGTTGATGTAAGCTTATATATGTTACAGTCAATGTCTACAATCAGGCAATGTGTACAATGCCTGAAATAACCAGTCAATGTGTACATTGTCTAATGAGGCCAGTCATTGTGTACATTGCCTAAAATTTCCAGGCATTGTGTACATTGCCTGATTAATTAGCCCAATTATTGTACACATTGACTGATTGTTGAAGAGCGATTATTGAGAAGACTAGATTACCACAGGTTTCGTTCTGTGATCACATAGGCTTCATTTCATATAAAAGATACTTTAATAGGTTCTTTGTCGGTTATCATTTGATTTAAAAAATGACTTTGAAAATAAAATGACTTTGAAAGGAAAATGTACTTCATGATTAAAATATTAATACTAGAACTGCGACGCAGTAATGACGGGTTTCACCGGTGCCCCGTTACCCTTGAATATATGTCACTTCCGGTACCGATGAAACCATTAAACAGGTTTCCACATAAGCATTGCACACATCAAATAAAATGTACGCAGAATCAACCAAATCCAGCAATATCAATTCATTGTATACATTTGTTACATGTAAGTAATACTGACAAAATTACATTACTTCCGGTGATAATGAAAATGTTAAATTAGTTTTATGAAATCAGAAATGGCATAAGGCATCACATGGAGAAAATTTTATGTAAATTGAATAATAATTGCCACTTTTATAGACCAAAAACCTTGAAAAGGGACTTGTAGAAAATCGTCTATTTCTCTGCAACCGTACAAGTTAGAAACCATTTTTGGGTATCTGTATGATCGTATGACTATGGGTTTCATCTAATAATTGCCACTTTTATAGACCAAAAACCTTGAAAAGGGACTTGTAAAAAATCGTCTATTTCTCTGCAACCGTACAAGTTAGAAACCATTTTTGGGTATCTGTATGATCGTATGACTATGGGTTTCATCTATTTGTTGATTGGAATCAAATATCATAATTTTAAAAACATTACAAATTAGACTCATTTGAATAAAATATCCGTTTTGAAGGCCAAAAATACAGTTTTTGAAAAATGACATTACTTCCGGTGACAGTAAAAGTGTTAAATTACTTGTATGGAATCGTAAATGGCATTAGGTATCACACGGTGAAAATTTTTATGAAAATCGAATAATAATTGACACTTTTATGGACCAAAAACCTTTTGAAAATCGTCTATTTCTCCGCAACTGAACAAGTTAGAAACCATTTTGTGATACCTATATGATCGTATGGGTTCATTCTATTGGTTGATTGGGATTAAATATCAAAATTTTAAACAAATAACAAATACGACTCATTTGAATAAAATACTGGTTTTGAAGGCTATAAATACAATTTTTGCCCAAATTACGTCATTTCCGGTGACATTGGAAATGTTAAATTGGTTTGACCTTGTTAAAATTGACATTACGCATCAAATGGTGTCACTTTTATGAAAATCGAATAATAATTGACTCTTTTAAAGGCAAACTAGCGTAAAGGGTGACTCATGCAAAATTGCCCATTTCTCCGCAACTTCTCATATTACAAACTAAGTTTCACATACATTTTCTTCGTATGGATTATTGCTACTAGTTTATGAAAGTTTCGAAAAAATATATTAAAATATGAAAAATCTGAATGGGTTGTGAATAGCTCATTTTTTCACCTTTTTTCGCCTTTAAATCGAAATGATCCGAAAACGAAATAAAAATAAAAAAAACTGAGCGTGATGATTTCTGCGCCTTAACAGGGCACACCCTTTCAGTCCTACCAGATTTGAAAAAAAAATTATTTGCTTTCAAAAAGTGGTACCGAACTGTCAAAATTGCATTTTTTGCTAAATTTACGTCACTTCCGTTATCGAAGGGAAAATGTACCGGTAACAAACAAAATGACATTTTGGACCACGGATCATATGAACTTTGTTTTATACAAATCGAACAATAAATAATCAATCCAGGACTGAAAAACTGAATTAGCCAATGGGGGCCAAGGAAAAATACGGTGACAAAAAATGGTGCCATTTTTGGTCAAATCAGATGACTCTTTAACTCTAGGTAAAACACCACATAAAAATATTCATTAATAAAAAAAATTTTCGTAAAAATTTTAATTTTCAAAATTTGGCGCCTAATATCTCCGAAGATTCGTCGAAAATAAAAAATGTAAAGAACTGTAGCTATGTGCCTTGTCGCCAGATATGTCAAGAATTATCAAATATTACAATCCGACAATTATTGATAACATTACGGCAAAATTTCGAAAAACGACAACTTCGGGGATTTCGGACATTTCGCATTGTCGCAGAACGTTAGAAATAGCTTTAAAATTTAAGTCAAACCCACTTTCCCAGTAATACAGAAGACATCGAATCGATCCGACAAGTAGTTTCTGAGATATGCTCAAGTGGAAAAATAATAATAAGAAGAAGAAGAAGAATCCGAAAAATAATAATAATAAGAAGAAGAAGAAGAATCCGAACAAAAACAATAGTGTTTCACACTGGCTACGCAGTGTGAAACCCTAATAACAGGATTGTCACTAGAGTTGTTGTTTTTAACTAAATAAATGACAAATATCATACACACTTTGAAGGATCAATTGACTTTTTTTCACACAGTATAAAAATACATGAATTTCTGATTTCCCGATAGAATACATGTGAAATACTCAAATACTCAGACAAATGGTAACATGTACATGTCAACTTGATTACAACCATGATATAAGTGGCCATGAAATATGTCAACAATTTTTGTTTTGACAATTGATGCTGTTGTGGCATCGGCTGTTACATTTACACTTATTTGTGGCACACTGTTTCCCACTTTTAGA